TGCTCTCAATCATGAATTATAAATTATATTAAAACATCAATCAGGGTTCAAAATTAGTGAATGATGATCTTCCAAATCAAACCCCTCACCTTAATATCCCCTTATTTAAATATTCTTCTAAATTTCATTAATTTGAAAAATTATAAATTTATCCTTTATGAAATTCAAATTAAGGTTGGTTTCTACCACTTATCCCTCTCTATGTTTCAATCATCAAGATATGTTATTTTAAGATCATTTACTACCCATTTACCCTCTTGATTAGTCCTAAATATTTATTAAGCTTTAAATTTCAAAATTACACTTTTGCCCCAAGGCCTTCACACCCCATAATTCATTAAATTAGACTGAAATGACTTGGAAATTTTATGTTACCTCATTCATGTGTTAGTTAAAACATCAGAGGAGAAAATGTGATTTTTTTCTAAATTTATTTAATTTTTATAATTATTTAGAATGCAAAATAGGGATTTTCAATGAAATTTTAATTACTCAATCCAAATAAAACTTCTGTATACTCAATCCAAATAAAACTTCTGTCCTTAAGAAAATTATTGAAGGTTCATCTAGATCAGAGGACCACTTGGACCAATTTTCATAATTTTTAGAAATTTAATTTAATTATTAAAATTATTTGTTTGTTTTGAGTATTAATTAAATATAAAGTAATATTTAAATGTAAAATTGAATTTTATATTTTTATTAATTCTCTCTAGCTCCAAGGAACCTAAAAAACAAATTTTATATTTTTTTATTTATATTTTAATTTTTAGAATTATTTTAGTGAAAAATTAAAGAAAATTCATTTTTAAGCCTTTAAAATTAATATCTTGACTAAGAAAATTAGGAAAATTATTTTAATAGGTCCCAAGTGATTAAGAAGCCAAATGTGACATTTTAGTGTGTTTTTACCATTTTGCAATTTTTATGATTTTTAATTAATTTTTAATTATTTAAATGCTTAAAAATAGCTCAAAAATGAAGTGTTTATTTTAATTCCAATTTTATTTTTCTTAGGTTCCTCTAGTTATAAAGTGCTCCCAAAACCTATTTTAATATTTTTTTAGTTGTAATTTAATTTTTATAATTATTTTAATGCCAAAAATGTGATTTCACTTAATTAATCTATTTGAATAATCAAATCAACTCCAATTGACTTGAAATTTTTATGGGGAGCTCCTCTAACATTAAATTACAATGGAGAATAATTTTCATGTCATTTACATTTATAATTACTTCAAAATAATTTTATTTCATTTTTTTGGGTTTGGTGACAATTATGATTATTTTAAATGATTTAAATCAAGTTTATATTTTTCCTAGGGGCTAAACTAAATTTATATTTTTTTCTAGAATCCTCTTACCACAATGAACCTATCAAAATAAGTATTGTACTTTTCTGATGAGTATTTTAATTAATATAATTTTTATACCAAAATAGAGACCATTAACTTGAAAATTGAATATCTCTAGTTAAAGATGCCCCTGACCTTAAAAAAATTAGGGGAGATGACTAACAACAGAGACATCAAAAGCCCCATGGTCTCATGTCGTGCTGAAATGTCTATGCTAATGGAGAATCAAAGTAAGGCAAACACTATTTAATTAATTAAAAATAATAAATATTTCATTTTTAAACCATTTTTAAATATTTAAATAATTAAAAAATTAATTAAAAATTATAAAAATTATAAGATTGTAATAACACACCAAAATGTTACATTTGGCTTCTTGATCACTTGGGATCAATTAAAATAATTCTCCTAATTTTCTAAGTCAAGATATAAACTTTTAAAGGCTTAAAATGAATTTTCTTTAATTTTCCATTAAAATAATTCTAATAATTAAAATATAAAGCAAAAAAATATGAAATTTGTTTTTTTGGGTTCCTTGACCTTAGATAGATTTATGAGAAATATAAAATTTAATTTTCCACTTAAATATTATTTTATATTTAATTAATACTCAAAACAAAAAAATAATTCTAGTAATTAATTTAAACCTCTTAAAATTATGAAAATTGGTCCACGTGGTCATCTGACCTAGGTGAACCTCTAGTATTTTTATTAAGGACAAAAGTTTTATTTTAGTTAAGTTATTGAATTTTCATCAAAGAATCTCTATTTTTGCAATAAAATAATTATAAAATTAAATAAACTCAGAAAAATCATATTTTATCCTTTGATGTTTTAATTAACCCATGAGTGGGGTAACTTAAAAATTTTAAAATCATTTGGGTTTAATTTAATAAATTATAAGCTGTTAAGACCTCAAGGGCAAAATGGTAATTTTAAAATTTAATCCCCAGTTAATATCTTGGTCTAATCGAAGGATAAATGGGCAATAAATGATCTTAATTGACATGTCTTGAGTATTGAAACATGAAAGGGATAAATGGTAGCAACCAATCTCACTTTGCTCTCATTAATGATATGTTTCTATTAAATACTTCTAGGTGATAGATAGTTGCATAAAACTAATAAAAAAGTAAGCATACATATACACTCGAAAGAGGGTAGGTAGACATATGTTCCTTGTTGGCACATAATTTATTACTTGATTATATCCCTTTACTGCTTTTGCAATTATCTTCATTTTACTGTTCTTTTGCAACAAAATAGATGCATGTTCAGGAAATTAGATTAGCTTATATATTCTCTTATTTTATTAATGTGATGGTATTTTCATTGGTTCTTAATTGACTTTGCAAACTGATCACTTGTGAGGTTAAAATCCATTGTAAATCATAAAGATCTGTGAGGGTTATAATTTCACCCAACTAGTGAGTACAACATTTCATCTTGGGCAGAAACATTGTGATCAACTGAGAGAAGTGCAAATATATAGGGAGATAAGTTTTGATGGGCGTCGAACTGATGTTTCTAGATTGACAGACTAGATTCTTTTATCAATTTGGTTTAGAGTTTTGATTGTAAGGGTCCCTAGTATGTTCTATAAAGAGGGCACAATGGGTAATCTGGAAGTGAGAGAATAGAATCTACTCAGCACTACTATACAAGCTGGTGAAAAACTCTAGGTTAGCCAGCGATCTTTGCTAGCACCGAGAGAGGTTAAAGAATATGTATGCTCTTATTTGTCACTAACAACATATATTTTCATCATTTAACATCTCAAATTTCTCCAAACTAATTTATCCAGAAAAGTTATCTTTATATTTAAGATAGTTATCTTTAGATTTAATACTTTCATTTAGGAGAAGTTATTAGAAAAACCACTTTAGTCGATATTCCAAACTAAGGCCTAATAGTAGTAAATTAGAATTAGCCTAAGGGTCCTCCCTTCTCGGTGGGATCGATAATGGGTTCTTAAGAGAAAATCCTATATTACTTCACATGATGCTTATGCTTGCGTAGAACCCCTAGTGTGTGAAATTTAAATCAAATTCTAAATTTTATAAAATATTGATTGGCACACTAGCCGCTTAATTATAAATCGGGTCAATATTTTTGTCATCTTTCAGAACTTAAAAATCTACGTAATTAGGGGTCGGGTCAATATAAACCCCATACGAGCTGAGGGAGAAACTCATCTAGACATAACTCATTTATCATATTCAAGGCAATGGAGCTAATCAATATATAGTTAGCCCAAAATTTGGCTTTAAGGGAAACTTGCTAACAAAGTTCACAAAGACTTATTAGCTAGGACCTAAATAGATTCACCAACAAAACTTAAGTGAGGATCTTTTTCCAAGCTCTCCAGCAAAACTGAGATTGCATTCGTTAGACAAACATTGCTCAGACATTCACCAAAGCTAAAAAATTTATTTAGCAATTTCCACGGCAGAACCTATGACTTCATTGAGACTGAAGGTCGACTACCAATCATAGTTTGAGTTCTCACTCAAGCTAAATGATTCTTGTAGTTATAAATTAAACTTTTTCTTATATATGTAGTTGATTCTATTGCCATTTATGTAGCATTCAGAACAATAGTCCTCTCCTATAAATAAGGGGTCATGGAAAAAGCTAGGTTAGCACGATCTCGTATAATGTGTTCTAAAATTATAGTTTTTTTTTTTTCTTTTTCGAATGATAGCAGATTTCTTTCCTCTCCATTTTCAGTAATTCTCATTATCTATCTATCTATTAATATCCTTCTCTTTTTCTCTATGTTAAGTAAAATTCTAGTACAACTCACAAAAAGATAAATCAAGATCCAACAATATTAGACCGTAATCACTTCTCCCAGTCATTAATATCGACTGTTATATCCTAACATCATACTTAATCATAGAATAACAAATAAATACCACTTTCTCATATAGCTGAGCTTGCTATTTAAAAATGCTTGTTGTACTTTTCGATTTGTGAAATGAATGGATCACTTATATTACTGTTGTGCTTTTATATAGTTTTCGAAGTTTAGTATCGCAAGTGATCTACAGTTCAACACTCATAATATTTGATCATTTTAATATTCTTCCATGCCTGTTCATCAAATGAATCTTTTATTTTCTTGGAAAATTTAAATACATACCACTCAAATCTTTTGTATTTACATATCTAAAACTTGAACTTCATTTCTCAGATACATACCATCTTATCTAAGCATAAAAGAGTATTTCACACTTTGTTTAAAATGGTTGCATTTTTTTGTGTGACATTGCTGAATCCCAAAAGATCTCTTAGGTCACGCCCAAGGAAAAGAGCGCATGTGGGATGAGAAAAATAGAGGGTAGTAAGAGAAAAAATAAGTCACAAATGATGCTACTTCTTTAGGATCATATTAAGTAATTTTCGTGTGGAAATGAATCTTTTATTTATAGATTAGAAGAAGTGACTGGTAAACTACAAGAATGCCCCTCACTTAATGGAAACTTTACAATACAATTATGAGGTCATTACACTTTTACATATTTCTAACCAACTTTGGCATGTTTTAACCCTGGTAACTGTTATTGACGTCGTTTCATATCTTTAACTGCCCCTGGTACCGTTTTATATTCATAACTGCTCTGTCTGATCATTTGGTCTTTGCTCGGTCGGTTAAAATCGCTCGGTGGGCTGACAAATCCTCGATCGACTTTTTTGTGAGGATCCGTCGTGAAGTCTCATTGTCCTCAAGAAAGAATACTTCAACAGACAGGATGCGTCACCATTATCTGACAGAAATCCTTCATTTGGGCCATAAATCTTCATAGAATGTCAGGTGAGAGTTCTGCTAAGCGATCGTTGACCTTGTGAATGCCCTTGCATCAGTTACGTTGTCGTGTGTGACATTCTTTAGCTCGAACCAATGTTCATCCGGTAAGCCCATGATTCGATGGACCGAAATGTCACCAGATGGCTTGATCCTTTATTTCCTTCTTCACATGATCCCTCTCGAGATTCGTGCAATCATATTTTCGATGTACTGACATAAAATATTTGTGGAGGCAATAATGTAAAAAGCAAAGCTTAGGTGTTAGATATGTAAATACATTGGAATTGGTGGTATGTATGTAAATACCCTTTTTATCATTTTCTTCACTTTTTTTGGCATAAAAATTAAGTATTTTCCTAACAGTTAATTTGGATAGAAAATGTCTATCGAACTTCCATTTCAGGTAAGGTAACATCGTTAACAGAAACCCAAGGCGGCGTATAATTGCCATACCTCTGCTTCAACCTTTTCTTCCTTCTAGAAGACCCTGCATGATTATCTTTCTTCCATGACTCATCACTCGAAGCACCATCCATCTGCTCATCAAGCTTTGTTGAATTAAGATCTTTGCTCGAGATTGAAAAATCTTCACTGCAAATGCTCTCATCACCGTTGAAGGCGGGCTTCGTCAGGGCTGGAAACATTACAGAGTGGCTGCTAAGCATCAGAGTCAATGAAGCCACATTTGGTCTCAGAAGTTGGTCATCTTGCACGCAAAGCAACCCAATCTGTACGCATTTCAATACCTCTTGTGTTTGGAATTTATCACATAAACTCCGATCAACAACTTTTATTGCCATTCCTTTCTTATAATATTGCCAAACCTAGATGCCAAAATTGAGTAATAACATGATCATTTCACCAAAACAAATTGTGAACTTGTGAAATTCTGAACCTTACATAGCTAAGAAGGTCCATTGCATGATCTGAACCTTGGAAACAGCTATTTTTTCTTCCAGTTATGATCTCTAGTATTAGCACCCCGAAGCTGAATACATCAGATTTTGTTGAGAAGAGGCCGTGTAATGCATATTCTGGCGCCATATACCCACTGCATCAAGTAAAAATGATGATATTTGATATGAAATTCTTTTGTAAAATATAAGATTATAACAGTTTTCTTACTATGTGCCAGCAATTTGATTTGTGTTTCTTTGAGTTTCATCAATGGAAAGGATTTTGGCCAGGCCAAAGTCTGAAATTTTAGGATTCATGTTCGCGTCTAATAAAATGCTATTTGCTTTTAGGTCTCGGTGTATGATTCTAAGCCGTGAATCTTCATGTAGATAAAGAAGGCCCCGCCCGATTCCTTCGATGATCTTAAATCTTGTTTCCCAGTCCAGAAACCTTTTTTTTGCAGGATCTGTTTCAGTATATTTGGATGTCAAAAGCAGCAAATGTATGCAAATTTCATTAAAATAATCAAATATGACTGAACCAACGATTCTTTGGAAAGAATTTATTTGTTACTTTTTTTTTTGGGTGTGAACGTTTTAAATATCTTGGGTCTGTTGTTCAAAGCGATGGTGACATACATGGGGATGTTAATAGTAGAATTCAAGTTGGTTGGTTGAAGTGGAGGAATGCTTCGGGCCTTTTGTGTGATA